TGGGGCGTCTCGCTCCTTCTTTCGGGACCGCACCACACTCACGCCGCTTAGTCGGCCGGTTGCGGTGTCTCTGGCTGACCCCTCCGGGGGTCCTGTACTATCTCGCTTCTCCACAGTTTCCCGTGTCTGGCGGCTCCCTTTGGCACCCTGTCTGGTCTCTACCTCCCCTTGTTCTCGACGAACCTGGTGAGTGGTGCTGACCTATAGGATGGGGGAGTACACCAGTTCACTCCTGCGCGTCAGCGGGTGACGCACTGTACAGAGGCTAGCACGGGCCGGCACCTGGCTACGTTTACCCGTCAGCCGGGGTCGAGCCTGTACACACTCACCACTGCGTCTCCTCCTGTTACTGAGTCTGGAAGAGTCGCTTCGTCTGGTCAGGTGTTTGCTGCAGCGTCTAGGTCTGGTCCTTAGTCTGCCCCCTGTTCGTGTCGTCTCTTGTCTCATGAGACTCTCCTCTGGCACCACCGTCTTGGTCACCCCTCTCTGCTTCGGCTCAGAGGCATGGCCTCCCGTCTTCTTGTGTCTGGTCTCCCCCGGTCCCTCCCTCCCCTTCCTCAGGGCCCTGGCCCTGCCTGTGTCCCCTCTGTTGAGGGGCGCCAGCGGGCTGCCCCTCACTCCTCCCAGTTTCCTCCGACAGAGGCCCCGTTGCAGACGCTTCACATGGACGTGTGGGGCCCGGCCCGCGTCCGTGGACAGGGTCACGAGCGCTACTTCCTGCTCGTTGTTGACGACTACTCGCGTTACACCACGGTCTTCCCCTTGCGCAGCAAGGGTGATGTCACTGAGGTGCTGATCGACTGGATCCGCGCGGCTCGTCTCCAGCTCAGGCGGAGCTTTGGCTCGGACTTCCTTGTTCTGCGTCTGCACTCGGACAGAGGCAGAGAGTTTTCCTCTGGCCTACTGCGAGCCTCCTGTCGCACACGAGGCATCCGTCAGACCTTCACGCTTCCGGACTCACCGCAACAAAATGGGATTGCTGAGCGCCGCATTGGCATGGTCATGGACGTCGCTCGTACGTCTTTGATGCATGCGGCTGCCCCCCATTTTCTGTGGCCGTTTGCGGTGAGGTACGCGGCGCATCAGATCAACCTCCACCCCAGGGTCTCCAGGACGGAGACCTCCCCAGCCTTACTGTGGACGGGGAAGTTTGGCGATGCGTCGGCGTTCCGGGTCTGGGGATCTCGGGCGTTTGTCCGCGACTTGTCTGCGGACAAGCTGTCCCCTCGTGCTGCTCCTTGCGTCTTCCTGGGGTTCCCCCCAGACGCGCCTGGGTGGCAGTTCTACCACCCCACCTCTCGACGTGTTCTGTTCTCCCAAAACGTCACGTTTGACGAGTTGGTCCCCTACTACCGCCTCTTACTGGGAGTCCTGGAGCTACTGGGCCTACGGGTTCGACTGGAGTTGGTGCTGCTGAGGGTGTTGGCGCTGAGACTACCGCTGGCGGTCCTACTGGGGGTGCTCCTGTTGCTGTTGGAGGTGCTGCTGGAGCGGGTACTCCTGCTGAGGGTACTGGTGCTGTCCCTGCTGCTTCAGGCGTCGTCACGCGGCCTCGACCGTACTTTGTTCCACTCCTGCAGCAGGTTCTTGGTCTTCCTCCTTCTATTGGTCCTCCTCCTCCCTCAGAGTGTCTAGAGCCTGTCCCGTCACAGTCACAGCTACAGCTTGCCTCCCCTCTGCCTGCTCTTTCTCCCTACGCTGGTCCTACTGGAGGTCTTACTGAGCGTCGTGAGCCCGCGTCTCGTCCTGCGTCGCCTGTTAGAGCGGCTCGCGCTAGTGGTTGCGGTTCGCGCCAGCGTCCTCCTCCTGTCCCTGGCACGCACCGGATCTCTCTGCGTGCGTCTACTGCTCCTCTGCATGCCCCTTTGCCTTCCCCTCCTGAGTCCTCTCTTCCTGCACTTGCCGACCCTGAGTCGGACTCTCTTCGTGCTGCCAGTCCTACTGTCACGCGTCTCCTTGCTACTGTTGTCACTGACCCTTCTTTCGAGTCTACTGCTGCGTCTGCTCTCGTTACAGAGCTCGTCGACTTTGCTGCTCGCTGTCGCTTAGACTACGTTGCTAGTCTTGTCTCTGAGTCTGAGTCTGTCTGTCCTCCGTCCGTCGGGGGTGAGTGTGCCCTTCGCACGGACGTCTTTGAGGACAGGCAGGAGGAGTTCCAGTGTCTGGCAGCTGCTTCACCTCATCTCGTGTCCGAAACTGCTTACCCCTGAGGGAGACCCGGATGCACTTGACATCCCGACTCCGCGCTCTTACGCGGAGGCGATAGAGGGTCCCTACTCCTCTCGGTGGCAGGCAGCTATGGATGCAGAGATGGCTTCCTAGAAGTCCACAGGCATCTACGTTGATGATGTCCCCCCTCCTGGGGCGAACATCGTCAGTGGCATGTGGATCTTCAGGGTGAAGCGGCCGCCGGGCTCTCCGCCTGTCTTCAAGGCGCGTTACGTGGCTCGTGGCTTCAGTCAGCGGCAGGGAGTCGACTACTTTCAGACCTTTTCCCCCACCCCGAAGATGACCACTCTTCGGGTACTGCTGCACGTTGCTGCTCACCATGACTACGAGCTGCACTCTCTTGACTTCAGCACAACTTTCTTGCAGGGCAGCCTGTACGAGGAGATCTGGCTGCGTCGCCCACCTGGCTTCACTGGGTCTTTCCCTCCTGGTACCCAGTGGAGTCTCCGGCGTCCAGTCTAGGGTCTCAGCTAGGCACCACGTGAGTGGCACGAAACACTGAGGACTACGCTTGCGGCTCTTGGGTTTGCTCCTTCTACTTCCGACCCGTCGTTGTTTCTGCGCACCGACACCTCTCTGCCGCCGTTCTACATCCTTGTGTACGTCGACGACTTGGTCTTTGCCACAGCTGACACTGCTGGACTCGCCTACGTGAAGTCCGAACTGCAGAAGAGACACACGTGCACAGACCTTGGTGAACTGCGTAGCTACCTTGGCTTGCAGATCACCCGGGACAGAGCACGCCGCACCATTACCCTGACTCAGTCACACATGGTGCAGCAGGTCCTTCAGCGCTTCGGCTTCACGTACTCCTCGCCTCAAGCCACTCCTCTGCCTACTCGCCACTCGCTCTCAGCTCTACCTTCGGATGAGTCCGTAGAGTCGAGTGGCCTGTACCCAGAGCTTGTTGGCTGCCTCATGTACCTGATGACCTGCACACGACCTGACCTTGCATACCCTCTTAGCATTCTCGCACGCTATGTTGCTCCTGGGAGACACCGACCAGAGCACATGGGTGCAGCAAAGAGGGTGTTGCGCTACCTGTGCAGTACGTCGGGAATGGGGCTAGTGCTTGGAGGGCGGAGTCTAGTGGTCCTCACTGGGCACGCGGACGCATCTTGGGCTGACGACCAGGCTACGCAGCGGTCGTCACAAGGTTACACCTTCAGCCTTGGTTCCGGCTCTGTTTCGTGGCGGGCTACTCGGTCGTCTTCTGTTCTTGGCTCCAGTTGTGAGGCTGAGATCTACGCCGGGGCCATGGCTGCACAGGAGCTTCGCTGGCTCACCTACCTGCTGACTGACCTTGGAGAGCCGCCTCGTTCTCCTCTAGTGCTTTACGTAGACAACAAGGCCATGCTGGCCTTGTGTCGAGAGTAGCGAGTGGAGCACAGAACAAAGCACATTGCTCTCCGCTACTTCCTTGCTCATGAGCTACAGCAGCGTGGACAGTTGCGGCTCGCGTACGTGGCCTCTGAGGCCAACACTGCTGATGTCTTCACCAAGGCACTTGCGCCTTGTGATCATCAGCGCTTCTGCACTCAGCTGGGTCTTGTGCCCGTCTTGCCTCACTTGCTCTCCTCTTGACCTTGCTTGTACTCTCACATATATATATACCTGCTCTTGCTTGCCTAGCTTTATATATATGTGTGTACTCTTGCATGTGAACTGGTCGTGTGGCCGTGACCCTGTGCTCGGATTGTGTGGTGACTTTGTGATCCACCCTGAGCTTGCTTTGCTTTGCTTTGCTTGACTGGTCTTGTGACCCCTTGTTCTCCCCCACTTTGCCTATGGGGGTGTGTCAGAACATTATAGCTTATGCTGTTGTCTAGGCTATAGTGGGGTATCCCATAGGGGGTACAACCAATTAGGGTTTCCTATTTGTACTCACTTCGTATCATAGTTCACCCATTCTCGTTCTAATCTTCTCACGATCGATAGCATGAATTGGTACTGTGACTCAGTGAGGGTTGGTGGGGTTGGGCGAGTAGGAAGTCTCGTCAGTAGTTGGCCCGATTCCTACTGACTGCTCGTGTTCCTTGCTTTGGAGACTCCCTCCCGTGCTCTACTCCGCGGCGCCTTAGCTCCTCTGGGCATTCGCTCTTGTGATGGCCCGGCCTGTTGCAAGCGAAGCAGCGCCCCTTAAACGGCGCGGCAGCTGCATTCGTCGCAACAGCGTGTATAGTGGCGTGCTCGATCGGTCCACGAGGACGATGTCCATAGTAGGACCCCGGTCTCGGACGGCGTAAAATGTCGATTTTCTCGGCGAGCGCGAGAATCTCGTTGAAGTTCGAGAGCCCGCGTAGCATGATTTCGTGCGAGATGTCCGGCTTCAGCCCTCCGACGTAACGGTCCACCCGTTCCGCTTCGTGCATATATCCGACTTGCTCGCATAATGCGAGAAAACCACTCGTATATGTCAGAATATTATTTGTCTAGCCTGCAGTGGGGTGCTCAATAGTGAGTACAACCCCTTAGGGTTTGCTATTTGTGTGTCCTTCTGCTTGCTAGTCCATCATTCCTTCTTTCCAATTCTCCTTCGTAAACCCTAAGTTCTAGTTGTAGGTCAAACTCACCTACCTCCTAGTGTGGGCCTAGGCTACTAAGCCTAGGCCCCACACCTACTATTTTGTCAGTATAGTCTTGAACCGATCCAAGTTGCGGCCAAGTGCGCAATCTCTGACGCGCCGAAATAGAAGCCGCGATCGGCTCAAAGCGCGCCCGAAGCCCTGCGCACCACGCATCCCACGTGCTTTATTGGGCGGTCTCGCAGAATGAACTCTAGGTGACAGCTGGGCACGTGGGCCCTTCCTCTTGCGACGGTGGCTCGTAGGCGCGTGGCGACGTCACGATGACTCGCCACCAGTCCATGGCGGGCACCCTTAGCAGCGAAACGGCATACCGAATCTTCGCTGCGTCCGATTCGACGTAATTCACGTCGAAGAGGACATTCATCGTGAAGACCCACGAATGAACCGTCGGGCCTCGACGCTGGCTCGGGTCGAAGCAGGGCGGGCGTTGCGGCTTGAGTGGCATTGGTGCCATGATGGCCTGTTCGCCACTTGTCGCCGCGAACTCCACGTGTCGACGGGCTTCACGAGGCTCCCGCGGGCTTGGTGCGTGTCAGAATGTTATAATTGTCTAGCCTGCAGTGGGGTACTCTATAGCGAGTACAACCCAATTAGGGTTTCCTATATGTATGCCAACTGCTGCTAGTGCAACCCCTCTCTTCTTCATTCCTTGTTTCTTCACATGCTATCAGAGCATCTACGCTCCTGGCCTGTGGGCCCACTTAACTACTTCCGCTGCTACTCTGTGTGTTGCACACCCCGTGGCGTGCGACGGTCTTCTTTCTTCCCATCCTAGAGGCCCCTCTCACGGCCCCATGCGCGACCCTTAGCGGCCCCGTCGCCACCCCTAGCGGCCCCGTCGCCGCCCTTCTCGGCCCCTCGAGGCCCCTTCGCGGCCCCGGCACCGCCCCTAGCGGCCCTGTTGCCGCCCTTCCAGGCCCCTCACGGCCCCTTTGCGGCCCCGTCGCCGCCCCTAGCGGCCCCGTCGCCGACCTTTCAGGCCCCTCGCGGCCCCTTCGTGGCCCTTCGCCGCCCTTCAAGGCCCCTCGCGGCCCCTTCGCGGCCCCGTCGCCGCCCCTAGCGGCCCCGTCGCCGACGTTTCAGGCCCCTCGCGGCCCCTTTGCGGCCCGTCGCCGCCCTTCCAGGCCCCTCGCGGCCCCTTCGCGGCCCTGTCGCCGCCCCTATCAGCCCTGTCGCCGCCGCCAGCGGCCCCGTCGCCGACCCTAACGGCCCCGTCGCCGCCCCTATCGGCCCCGTCGCCGCCACCAGCGGCCCCGTCACCGCCCTTCCAGGCCCCTTGCGGCCCCTTCGCGGCCCCGTCGCCGCCCCTATCGGCCCCGTCGCCGCCACCAGCGGCCCCGTCGCCGACCCTAGCGGCCCCGACGCCGCCCCTATCGGCCCCGTCGCCGCCACCAGCGGCCCCGTCGCCACCCCTAGCGGCCCCGTCGCCGCCCCTATCGGCCCCGTCGCCGCCTCCAGCGGCCCCGTCGCCGCCACTTGCGGCCCCGTCGCCGCCCCTTTCGGCCCTGCCTCGACCCCGCCCCGGCCTTGCCCCGGCCATGCTCCGTCGCCTGTCGCGGCGCACCGGGGGCCCGTGCACCGCCCACGCGCGGCCCCCTCAGGTCGCCTCGACAGGCGATGGGAGGGGCGACCTGGGAGGGGGGGCGAGCGTCCCCCCTTCTGCTGCTTGTTTTGGTGCCCTGGGAGGCCGCGCGTCGGCCCCCCCTCCCCGTAACCTCCCTACCCGCCGTCCCGCCCTGCCTTGTGTTAGGGTCTGGGGGTGGCGAGTAGGGGGTGGCGGGTGTGTGGTCTCCCCTGCTCCTCCTCCTCCTCTGTCTCCCACTGCTGCAGCTGCCGCTGAGAGGGGTGGGTGTGTGGGAGTCGACGGAGTGGTGCTAGCGGGTGGGGTGTGAGTGAACCTAGGGTGCAGCAGGGGGTGTGTGAAAGGGGGGTGCTGTGGGAGTGGAACTAGGGTTTGAGCAGGGGGTGTGTGTCGAGGGGTGTGGGGCAGCTGGAGGAGGTTGTGTGAAGGTAGCTGTCGTGTCGCTTGCAGCGCCTGTAGTCCGTCGCCCTTGCTTCGATAGCCAGTGAGCCTGTTGCACCAGTCGCCAGTGGGTCCGTTGCTCCTGCCGCTCGTCTATAGCCGCGGAGCCACTTACTTCAGTAGTCCGTCGCCCTTGCTTTGGTAGCCACTGAGTCAGCCGCTCCTGTGCCCGTGCCTCTGCAGCTTCAGTCGTTGCCTCCCATCTTCTCTCCCTCCACAGTTCCTCCTCCTCCTCACTTGCCCGCTGTGATTAACTCTAGCTTTGCTCGCTATTGTGAACTCCTGCTCTATGCCTTCTTGCTCATTGTGCTGATTACACCCCACTTTGGCTATGGGGGTGTGTCAGAATGTTATAATTGTCTAGCCTGCAGTGGGGTACTCTATAGCGAGTACAACCCAATTAGGGTTTCCTATATGTATGCCAACTGCTGCTAGTGCAACCCCTCTCTTCTTCATTCCTTGTTTCTTCATAGTGCGACCCTGTTTCCTCCCATGCCAGGCATCGGCTGGGCGGCGCCATCGCTGGGTGCGCCTGAGCGCTGTCCCACGCTGTTGTTTTGTGTTGGTGTGCCGGACGAGATGACGATCGGCTCGTCTGATTGTGCAGATGCATTTGTCGGTGCGTGTGGTGGCGCTGGAGTGTTCATCGTTGATTGCTGACGCGGTGAGTCACATTTCGCCGTGAGCATCGCAATTTCGAGCGCCGAATCTTCAAGTTGGCGCACCAGACAGTCAAGCTGCTCTTGCGTCAATTGTCAGAACTTATTATTGTAACTGCCTGTAGCTGTAGTTAGTGTAGTTATTATAAACTTGTTTGGTGGTGCACCTTCTTTGTTTCCTTTGCTATATGTTCTTCGAAACCTATAGTGAAACCCCATTCCCAACTTTCTCGACTCTCACACCTTGGAACAACCTACTCGATATCCTAGTTGAGCCTAGGCCCTAGTTAAACTTGAACATTCTCGTTTCAAATTCGATATGGTATCAGAGCGATTTACGTCCTAGCCTGTGGGCCCGCCAATATGCTTCCGCTGCTATTTTTCCCGGTCGCGCGCTTAGGGCGCGTGGCGAATTTCGTCTTGTCCCGCCCCCGGTTGGCGAGTGACTCCTTCTCTGCCCGTCGCGCGCCCCGTGGCACGCGACGGTGCCCTAAACCTGCCCGTCGTGCGCCCCGTGGCACGCGACGGTGCCCTGCTCATCGTGCGCCCCGAGGCACACGACCGGGCCCTAAACTTAAACTTACCCGTCGTGCGCCCCGTGGCACGCGACGGGCCTCTCCGCACCTGCTATCCCTGCAATCGCCCCTGACCTATCTGCGCCGACACAATGTAGCAGCTCTGCGGATTTCTTCCCGCCCACCCCCTCCTCCTTTGTCTCCCTGCAGCCGTGGGGAGGAGGGTATGGGGGTGGCGGGTGTTGGAGTGTTGGGTCGTCTCCTTCCCTTCCCCTCCTCCTCCTTTCGTTCCCACTGCTGCAGCTGCCGCTGGGGGGGAGGGTATGAGGGTGTGGGGGAGCAGGGGGAGTGGCACCGGGGTGGCGGGTGTGAGGCAACCAGCAGCCGTCCCTCCACCTCTCCTCTCTTCCCCCCCTCTCTGCTGCTCCTGCAGCAGTGTGGGGGAGGGGAAGGAGGAGAGTGAGGAGATGGAGAGGGTGACCAGCCAGAGTTAGCCCGCCTGCAGTAACTGCTGTTGCTTGTTTATTATTCTGCTTGTGTACCCATGCAGGTTGTATTCTGCACAAACTCCTGCTGCAGGCAGTTATGGGGGAGTGTCAGAACTTATTATTGTAACTGCCTGTAGCTGTAGTTAGTGTAGTTATTATAAACTTGTTTGGTGGTGCACCTTCTTTGTTTCCTTAGCTATATGTTCTTCGAAACCTGTAGTGAAACCCCATTCCCAACTTTCTCGACTCTCACACCTTGGAACAACCTACTCGATATCCTAGTTGGGCCTAGGCTCCTAGGCCTAGGCCCTAGTTAAACTTGAACATTCTCGTTTCAAATTCGATATCAATGTGGCGAGCATGAATTCGGCCATGGCGGGGGTGTCGGGCGAGCTCAGTGAGAGCCTCGGTCGTGGCCGAGCGTGCTTACGAGAGAGCATTACGAGCGGCGGTGCTGTGTCGCTGAGAGACGTCTACCCCCCTCAAAAATTGAGATAGTGGGGAAGCGAAGGTGTGGGTGTGGTCGGAGAGGAGATCGTAGGCTTTGATACCAGGTGTTACGAGTGCAATTGAGTGAACAAACGAGAACTGCACTATCGAAGCAAGAGTACAATGAGCTAAGGCATGAGCGAAGAATATTTAGCGAAACTACAGTGGTAACGGTAATGGACTGTGGTTGTCGCGCGACGGGCCTGGGACTGAGGTTGGGAAAAAGTGTCGAAGCGGAGGCCCGGAGCGCGGGTTACCCACCGAGCCGTGAGGTCGGGGTGTGATGTGCGAAGTGTTGGAAACAATCGGTCCTAAGCGCCTCTATCGTGTCGAAACACTAAAGACACAAGTGAAGCAACGCATATCGAGGCACCAGCGAGTCAACCCTCTGAAGTTGAAGCAACAGCTGGAGGTTACGCGAAGGTCAAAGGTCAGCGACCTTTGACTTGACAAATGCAGCGCGACAGCAAGGACACACAACTGACTTGATATTGAGTAGTTGCCCGAGTCGCACTGTATCGAACCGCAACAGCCAACAGTAAAACAGTTATCATTCGTATCTCTTCGTATTCCTTGTAATCATATATAAAATCTTGTATCTCCTTGTTTTAATCAACTTACTTTGCCCGCACATACTAGCGCAAGGTGGTTCAGAATCTATTTGTTAACGCTTCCGCTACTACATCATTCTACCCAGAGATTAACCCTACCAAAGATCCTAAGGGGCACTCAGCCCAACATGGTATGAGAGCTGGTTAGGGTTAAAATTCTATTTCCCCTTAAATTACACCAAGAGACATGTCGACCAGAAAGGAGAGGAGCTCCTCCAACGGCTCTCCTGGTACTACTCCTACTCCACCTCCTCCCTCTGGCCTACAGACAGAGGAAGGCACAACAACGAGACCGGCCGCTGGGTCTACTGAAAAACCCGCAAACCAAGGCGCGGGCTTCGATCCAAGCATGATGGAGAAGTTCTTCTCCTTCATGTCCTTCTACGAGCAGCATCAGCAAGGAGTACCTGCGCAATCAAACAACAGCAACAACAACAACAACAACGTGACACCCATGAGTCTCGATGGCTCATCCTACGCACGCGGGAATCAACAACAACAACCTACCTTCGCTCCGTACGAGCCCCAGCGTGGCTCTGTCAGCTTCATGCCACAACCACAACCTGCACCGGGACAAGAAAGAACGCTGGACGCACTGCAAGTTCAGTCGCAGTTCGCGCACGTTCTAAAACTGCAAACGACAAAACCTTTCGACGGGAAGGACTTCTTTACCCGGTCGTTCGAATTCGAGCTGATGATGGAAGGAGCGCAAATCCTTGGCTTCTTCGACGGGTCCCTGTCATACCCAACAAACGGCACACAGTATGAGAAGCAGCAGTACACCTACCAATCGATGATGGCGTACACGATACTACTGAGGAACATCACCCCGACTCAACTGCAAAACATAAGGACTTACTGAGGTTATGGCAACTCCGCGGAGCTCGCGTACAATCACTTGAAGAACCTGTATCAAGCAACAGACAGCGTAAACCAAAGTCGGTTAATGGCGCAGCTGACAACAATCGAAATGAAACCAGGCGAGAAGGGAATGGCATATATCAGTCGCTGCCGCGAGCTGCGCGACAAGCTTCTTCGATGTGGAGGATCGATTTCAGAAGACGCCTTCGTCACGGTTGTCATCGGCGGTCTTGGTCCTTACTGGCGCTCCACTCGCGCCATACTACGAGCACACGGGAGAATCTCCGAAGCAGCACTCTGCGCCAAAATTCATGCTGAGCAGCAAGACATGGACCTGCAAGAAGAACGACACAAGAGAAAGGTATCAGTACCCGAATTCGCGTTTCAAACTCAACGGCGCCACAACAACAACAACAACAGTCGACCGAAAATCGTACCTCCGTTCTGCCACCTCTGCAAGACTTCAAGGCATCCTCGTACGCACTACCCGAATCGACAACAGTCAACGTCGATTAACTTCGCCACACACCAACTTCGCCCTTCAAGCAGTCAAGTCGCCTCAACGCAAGCAAATCCGATAACTTCGGTACAAGTCTCAACAACATCGACGGGACAACCTGCGAAAGAAACAAGAAACATCATCAGCTGCATGGCAAGGCTGAGCGACTCCTGCGTAACTGAGTCACCACCATATTACTCACCAGAAGAACAACTCGACAACAGCACGCCTCGCCGCGAGACACTTCAACCGAACCCGACGTACGCCGCCATCGCTCAAAGCGAACCGTCCGGGAAAGACACATGGTTCTTGGACAGTTGCTGCGGACTGTCAAACATTATATATGTTGTGTTAGTTTAGGCTACAGTGGGTTAGGGGGTACACAATTCTAGGGTTAGGTACTTGTACTCATTTCACTGCTAGTTCATTCATTCCTGTTCAGTGATTTCAACATGGTATAGAGCAGGTCCTTCCTAGGACCGAAATTTTCTAAGGGCCCGCCACTACGTAACTACCTACCTACCTGTGCCCTAGGGCGCCTCGCTGTGTCACGCCCCTAGAGGCCCCTC